GAAAACTCTTTCACTATATTTAATTCAAAGGTCAGTTCAGATGGATGTTTCAACTGATTTTTCAATTTCTACTCTTAAAAGGCCCATGACATAAAGCTATTTCTTTCATACAACAAGAAAATGGAAAATTCCAAATGATGAGTTTAGATGATAATAATCATAATTATGATAAAAGCACCATCAATGTACTCTCTATGAAGATATTTCATATGACATCAAGAGCTTGATACAAAAAATGAAAAGAAGAAAAAAATGTGTCTATAATGCTAGTGTTTGAAGCCATTCATATATCCCTGATAAAATAGATTTTTTGCAGGTGTCAAATTCAGAAATTGATAACATCTCCCTCCTTTACTTTAGTTGTTCAAATTGAATACCAATATCAAATTCTAGCAACAAGAGTTATATCAGTTTATATTTTTTTAAATTTATTTTTAATGAAGTACAATTATTTTACATTCTTGTTAATTTTTTCACAATATAGGATTTCTCTCCTCAGAAGTAGTTACCATAATTCTCCCACTACCAAAACCCTCATAGTCCTCCACCATTGTTCTGCCACAACCACCCCCATGTTCTCCCATCGTACTCCTTCTCCCTCCCCTCCTGGATGCTTCATATCTATGGTCATTTTCCAGGTGTTGGTTTTCAAGTTTGTCCTACCCTTTGTTTGGTCTCTATATTCACATATAAATGAAACCATCCAGTAGTTATCTTTCTCCTTGTGGCTTATTTCACTTAGGATAAGCCCTTCCAGTTCCATCCATGTTGCTATAAATGGCATGAGTTGTTCTTTGTTTGATTGCTGAGTAGCATTTCGTTGTTTATATATACCACATCTTCTTGATCTACTCATCTGTTCTGGGACATTCTGGTTGTTTCCATATCTTGGCTATTGTAAATAGTGCTGCTATAAAAATAGGACTGTAGGTCTTCTTTCAAATTAGCATTTTTATGTCCTTTGAATAGATATCTAGGAATGGAATTGCTTGGTCCTATGGCAGATACATTTTCGTTCTTTTGAGGAACCTCCATACTTCTTTCCACAGGAGATAGACTAGTCTACATTCCCACTAACAGTGTAAGAGAGTTCCTTATTCTCTATACACTCAGCAGTATGTATCAGTTTCTAATCAATGGTAATGTAATGTCCTTTTTGTGCAAATTATTTTTCTTTTGAGTTGTTCATTTACCTGTGTTTAGATGGAGCATCTCTAACATCCAGAGAAACAATGTGGAATGATCTTGAATTTACCATTCCTAATATAGAAGAGATATGTTTATCATTTGTACTCACATGATTAATCATGAAGAAATCACCTCAGGGAATAATTCCTCCTAGGCCAAAAAACCTGTAACTACCACTGTGTGGAGCTTATCTGAGACACATGAAAAAACATGCAAATTTCACCTCAATTGATAAAGAAGGGTCAAACTGACTGCTGACTGAGTAATCTCTGTCCTTGCTGTATTTTACTAAAGGCAATGTTTGACACAGTAAGTGGTGGGCCCTCCAGCTGTTTTCTATTGCCTGATTCCAAAATTCTGGTATTCGGGCTAGTATTCTCCAGACAGAAATTTGGAATTTCATGTTGTGAGGAGTCTAAACTGCCCAAATGAGAGACCTAAAAATACTTTCAGTACTGAAAATAAAATACTTTTAGTAAATGGTCAAAGACAGAGGGAAAAAAAGATCCTATCAGATCCACAAATCCTATCACCCTCCACAAATCCCATGGTTGACAGGCCCAACCTGGACATTAGAACTTAAAATTAATTCTTTTTGTTTCCAGGTCACTTCTGGATGCCCTGTTCTTTGAATGTGAGTGATAAGTTAGGGTCACCAGACTAATGAAGAATGTTTCAAATAATGAAAATAAGAGGTCAGATAAACAAACACATTAGCCAGGGGAAAAAAAAAAAGAACATTCAGGAAAATACACCTTGGAGGGGATATAGTTAACATTAGTATTCTCATGGAAGTAAGAATATTCTATGACATGAAACACAAACTTGATGCTATAAAAGGGATAATTCATTTTGATGTTTCCTGATGTGCTTGAGAGCAGTTTTTGCATATAGAAAAGACAATATATAATTTTATTTACTTTGGTTTTAATATTTAGTTCCAATTTATTCATTATATCTTCAAATTGTAATTTTTTCTTAAGCTTTTAAGTTCAGTTTACTAATCTTGTTATTCAATTTTTACATCTAGCAAATATAACATTTCATTTTAAAGGTTTTTAAATGTTTGTTCCTATTAACAAACTCAGTAATTAAATAAAACACTGAATTTTTCAAACTACATTGAATTACATCTTAGTAATCTTCGATTATTTGGTCAAACAAAATCTTTTCATAAACGTAAACAACTTTTATAAAGATAATATAGCTGTTCTAGTTACCTATTGGTGTATAACAAATTATTCTAAAGCTTAGTAACTTAAAATAATCATTGTGCACATGGATCCTGTGGGTTGAGTGTAAGGAAAGCTACAGTGGAGATGACCCTACTTTTTTCCACAATGTCTCGGGAGTCTCGTCTGTTAAATTTTAAAAACCAGCAGGGTTTGGGACATAGTGACATACACTCAGAAGAAATCATCTGAAGGCAATTTCATTCATGTGTCTGACCACCAGATGTATGTTAAGACCTCAGCTGAAACTACAGCTGCACACTTACATAGAGTCTTTCATAGTGTTTACTCCTATAAATAAAATGAAACCAAAGTTATTTTTAAAATGGCAACAATGCACATAAACTTAGTAGTTTCACTTAAAATCATGTATAAATGAATTGGTTAAGAATTTCGTTGGAAATGCAAGGTTGTCATTCAAACAACTTTATAAATATACAAGGTACCAAATGTGCATTCATTCAAGTGATTTTATAAATATACAAGGTACCAAATGTGCATAAATTCCTTACCATAAAAATATACTATAGTTTTATTCTCTTACTTAAACCATTTTTTTTTTACTTAGTTTGAATTATGCAGGTAAATTATGCATACCCGTGAGGAATAAAAATACCATTTGGTTATATAAAACTAGAGATTTTGGCATCTGAGACATCTTGAGTGAGGTAATAGTGAGTCCTTTTTTATGTAGTCCCTGTGTCATGGCCTACAAAACTGAAAAAGGAATTTATATCCAGGCCCACAGAGAGCACTACATCCCAATTATTCTCACTACTAGATTAAGTCTACTACTTATACTCATAATGATTATTACAGTAATATTTCATTTCTTTGACTATGTACACTAATTTTCCTTCAAAAATGAAAGAACTCTGAAGTAAGATATGTGAATATATTTTCTAAGATGAAAATCTTTGTACATAATGGAAATCCAATGATATGTAAGTATGCTATTTATGTAATGATAAAGGCCTTTGAACTTGATGGGTCCTAGGTAGAGGTATTTCCTATGTAACAACACCAGTAAATTTGACTAAGACCATACACCATTTTATATTCTTAGTACCATACTATGCTTCACTATTTGGAATGGTATCTAATTGACGTGGCGAGGTCAATTGCAATAACAAGATCATTCTACTAACAATACACAGAATAGAAGAACTCTTAGAGATCAACATGTGTTAGCAAGATGGTAAAATTAAAGTAAGTAAATTGAGGAAATGTACCAAAAAACAGACCAAAAAGATAAAAAGAAGTACAATTTAGAAAAAAAAAAACATTGATAAATTAAAGGACTAGTCAAGAGGGTCCAACATTCAAAATAATAATTGTTGCAAAATGAGAAATGGAAGATTAAAATCATCAATAAAATAGTATAAGAAAAGTCCCCAGAACTGAAGTACAGAAACTTCCAAGTTCAAGATGCTCAAATAAATGCCTGGTGCAATGGGCAAAAATAAAACTCATAAAAGCAAACTAACAGAAATTTGAGTTTTCAGAAAAGCAAAAAGTATAAATTTTAGGACCACTAAATACTAAGAGAATGAAACCTTCCAGAAGAAAATGTCAAAAATCCAAATAAAAAGAGATCTCCCAGTAGCGCTGGAAATGAGAAGCAATGCTTTCCAAATTCTGAGGGAAAATGATTTACAATGGAGAATTGTCTTTCTAAGAAAATTGTCAATCTGCTATGAGGTAGAACAAAGAAATTTTAAGATAGGCAACATCTCAAAAAATGGATTCCCTATGTACTCTTTCTAAGGAACATACTGGAAGATATTCTCTATCTTCACAGGAAGGTAAATCAAATGGGGAAGGATGTGAGATTCAGGAAATGAGAGGCAGCAAAAGGGACAGTCAAAAGGATAATGGTGAGTAAGTTCTCAAGATCAGAGATATACAGCAGACTGCATAAATTGGTAGAGACCAGAAGATAATGGGAGAAATGTCTCCAAGGAAAAGAAATTAATAGAATCCTAGATAGACCTGAATGTATTTGATGATTTACAGAACTGGAAACATGTTGGGAATAAATTAGTTTAAAGTTCACTTAAAAAATAAACACTAAAAAAACATAAAAACAAGTTATTTGTCAACTTCAATGAAACAAAAAAGTACACTTGTAAAAAATTACAAATAATAATGATATAAATACTGATTATTAAACCAATTCAAACTTGTTACAATTACTTTAGAAATATTGGCTGAGGAAAAGTGTGTATGTGAAATGGAGAAAGGCAGGATGGTCAAAGAGAACAAGAACTTCATTCTCCAAATGGAAAGCTAATAAATTTTATAATCCAGGAATGAAATACATAGGCACCCTCTACAATAGGGGAATATGCAAGTAAATAACAAAAGAATCTATTAAATATGTCGAGACAACTGTTTTGGATGGAGCTAAATAGGGATAAGGGATGGCTTATAACAAAAATTCTGGAATAACAATGTATAATAAACTTTGCATAATAATAAACAATAAGCATTATTGAAATATCACTTTTAAATCATATACGTCATAAAAGCAAAATTCTAAGATGGTGTCACAATTCTTCAATGCTATACTCTATGTAATCTCCTTCTCTGTGCTTGAACAATCCTATGAAGAAATTCCAATAGACTATGATAAAGGTAATGAGATGTTACTCCTTCACTTATGTTATGTTATATATAATCTCAGTTTTCAGACCAAAGGAAAAAAATTCTGGATTTGGTCTCAAAGAAGCAAGCCAGTTAAATAAGCTCCTATAACGAGGAACCATAGGTCACTTCTCGGATGTGAGGGCAGCCTTTATCCAACAACCTGAGAAATCTTGGGAAGCTCAGTCATGCAAGTGCAAGGCCAACAACCTGAATGAGTATGGCTTACGCCGCTGGGATTCAACCATTTTGGCTTTTGTGAAAACAATATCAAAACTAACTACTGGCTTCATTTTCAAAGGTGCAATTGAATAGGTCCTCTTGACCTGGATCCAGATAACTAGCTCTTCCAGGGTTACCCCTGAACCCCGAATATCCTCTTTTGTGTTTATTCTTTGTTTTGTGACTTATGAGATTAATGGTTGATTTCTTTATTCAGATACCAGACTGTCTCTTTGACAGTAAACATGTTTCAACTAATCATTATATATTTTAAACTAGTGGTTATGCTGATCACTATAATATAAAAAGGAATGAAAATATATGTTCTTCTTCTCCAAGAACTTACAATCACAATGGAGACTTGGTGTGAAACAAGAATAAACAAAAGGCAATGCTAATGAGCAAATGAAATCAATTGACTGAATGTACTTAACTACTGATAAGTTTGTAGAAGGGAGAGATTAGTGAACTAGAAGTAGTTCATGGAAAGTTTCACAGATGAGTTGGCATTAGGTCAGACCTTCCACAAGAAGTAGGAGTTCAGCAGATAACAAGGAGAGAAAGCAGGCCCTCTAGGTAGGAATAGAAGAGTAAACAAAACTTGGAGGTCAAAATCATCAAAGGGTGTAAAGGATAAAACGAGCAGGCAAATTGCTTGGAAAATGTAGCAGATAGAACTGAAAAAAAAAAAAAAAAAAAGGGGAGCAATGCTTCAAGACCGGTAACAATTATTTGCATATGGACAGTTGAATATTTGCTAATTGAAAGTATGAGTGCCAAATATAAGTTTTAGGAAAATTTAAACAGATCCTGTGGTGAAGAAAGAGTAGAAACCAGAAGATAGGTATCAGCCTACGAAGTAAATTATAGCACTATGACATGGACAGCAAGAAATAGATAAAAAGATATAAAATGACAGAATTTTATTATATTAAATATTCATTAAATTAAAGTAAATAATAAGAAATTAATTTTTAATCCCATATATTTTGCCTCTCCCATTTCACAGACAACTAATAAAGAAGGAATGAATTTAGACAAATAAAATATTGTGTTTTATAATTTCAGGGTGTTGGGGAAAGCTTTGTGTCTAGTTTGCACAGAGATGCAGTTACTATTTATGTATTTTAAGACACAAAGGCATACTAGAGGGCATCTCTGAAAGTTTTTCCGCCTGCTCCTGATTTTCAGGAAAAGGAATTTTATGTAGATAGTTTCCCTTGAGCCTTCTTTCTGGTGATGAAAACCCACAGTCAGTATTCTCATTCAAAGCTGACTTCCCCCAAGGCCACACACATCCATCCTGCCAGCCTGAAGACTGCTGCCAACAGCTCACTCTCTCTTACCTCCAAGCTGCTTTCTCTAAACAAATTACAACTGAGGGAAGGAAGAGAGCAGAGCTTGGACATAAAAGCTTTACAACATGAATACCTCTTACAGCTGACTGAGTCGTTTTGCATATGTGCATCTGCCCCAAATTAGAAATACTTGTGAATGGAATACCACAAGTGTCTTTGAAGGTCATTACTGTAGAGAGTTATGCACTGAGGGGGCCTTTTCCTTGTTTTTGTGGTATGTTTCAGTCTTACTTGCAAAAACTGAGGGTAGTGGAGTAACCACTCTGGTTTACATTAAAGGCTGTTTCCCAGAGATGAAAAGAGTTTGTGCGTTGAGTCAAACTGCTTATGTTATTATTACCAAGGCAGATATTGCAGAGCAAATCAAGCTAGTCTGCCAGAATCCTAGGTCATATAGGTGGGGTTCATTACACCAGATAATTTCAAGGTTCAAGTTTGCAGAGAACTCAATGATTTCTTAGCATATCCCAATATGTGGTTTTTATAAGGTCTTGGTCACATTTTCTCTCCTTAAGTGTGTAATAATATCTCTGTTTATTTAATAAAGTTTTTTATATTTAGTATAAAGCAGTAACTGTGGATTTAAAACTGGGAGAATCTCAAAGGAAAAGAATGTCAATGTAGTCTAAGAGAAATGACCAACTCACATGTCAGATAAGGCAATCATTTTAAACACTAGGCAGGCCAAACAAAACTGCATACAGGTCTTCCCTGGTGGCGCAGGTGGTTGAGCTCCACACTGTGACGCTGTCCACAGTCTCTTCAGCACAAGTTCAATCCCAGCCAGCCGGCGAGAATCCCACATGGTGCGCAGACCTCTCCTGCCTCGCCGGCTGCTCCCCTCAGCAGTGTATTTCTTCAGTCTGCCTGTTCTGTTCCCCGCTCTGTCTCCAGAGAATCCTCTCAACCTCCCACACATCTAGCCTGTACCCTGGCTCTTGTATAAAAATAAATAAATCTTTAAAAAAAAAAAACTGCATACAGACAACAATGTGTTTTAATGGGTCTGCAGGTGTAGAAAACCCAAAAGCAGATCAGAGGAGACACTTGGAGGAAAAGCCATGCTATATGTGTATATGCAAGTGGATACAAAGGGGTTTTGCACATACTTTTATCTGCAGTTGAGTTGCATTGATGGAGGACAAGAATAGAAAAAAAACTGAAAAGAGGGGTACCACAAGACCAGAAACCTGGTTCACAAGGAGGTGGGGGTACAAGAGATTAACATAGCCATTGACACAGCTATAGAAACCAAGATCCTTAGGCATAGACCACACAGTGGAGGAAACTAGTATCCTTAGGCCAGACTAGTACCTCCGGTGAGGACACCTAGATTACAAAGCATAACATCCAAGCAGGTATCAGGAGGAGCATCCAAAGGTAAAGATATGGAGATTCAGCCCATTGTAGAATCTCCGATCCCTTTCAAATTCCACATGGTTATACAAAATTAGCAACCAACTGATGACTCACAAGGAGTGAACCCTCCCAAAGAGAAGAAGACTATATCAGTGCAGTCTCTGTACAGGCTCGGGACAGCACTCCCTCTGTCCACCTGTGACTATGCAGGTGCCTCTTTTCACCAACTCTCTCCCTCTGCAGGGCAGCAGCTTCCTGCCTGCCCATGACCTGTACATGCTGCGGCTTCTCTTCACTGACCTCCCTCAGTGGGGGCCCGCTCTCCTCAAGGCTGCCTGCCAGCACCATGCAGGCCTCTCTCAGCAAACTTGTCCCTTTGGGACAGCTCTTCCTGCCCGCGTGTGTCTATGCAAGTGTCTTTCACTGTTTTATTCCTTCTCCAATAAACCTGACCTTTAAATATAACTAAAGTCTCTGTCTCATGGAGAAACTTGCCTGGGAAACTCGCTGTGTGTCGCTGAAACAGGAGCTCTGGTGACACCTTTCCCAGAGTGAACCCAAGGACCCTGTACTCCAAACCCACTGACTCCAAAATCCACAACAGCATCATGGTTTTTTGTTTTGTTTTGTTTTCTCTGACGGTGGAAGTTAGAACACATTTTGAAAGACAGTAGTGGTAACACTGAATCTTGTTTTCTCAATTCAATCTCACCTTTAAGACCTCCCATCATGATTCTTATGCTCTACCTTTAAATATGTCTTCAACTCCGTTGAGCCCCCTCAATGACCAATTTTATCTGAACAAATAGAAAATGTTGCAATTTAGTAGATGTCCCCTCTACTTGAAAGCATAACAGAATTGTTCCTCACACCTCCTGGTATACTTTCTGAGGCTAGACTCTGCATTAAATGTATTGTGTGCATCCAAAAAGGATTTTGTAAAAGTTGACAGATAAAAATTCTTCTTAGACACCCTTTCCCTCTAAATTTTTTTCCAAGTTACTCACAAAAGCAGATAAATTTTAATACTTATCCCTGGGGTGATTTTGTGAAGCTCCAAGCAAAGGGTAATTGAAAACCTTTGAAGTTTACTTTTTATTTTGTCATAAAAAAATTCAACTCAGTTTTTCTCTAATAATTTTTTATCACTGATATTCTCAATTCCTAGATATGAAGAATGGCCTAGAACTCCACAGAGACAAATAAAATATGATGATTGTGGTGAAATGGTGGCCAGAGAGAGGGGTGGGAGGTGAGAAGAGGAGGAAAATTCATCAAAAGGTATCTGCGGTAATGATTGGATAATTTTCTTGTAACTCACACTCTTCTGCATAGTTTAGAATAAGGACATCCTGACCTGATCACTTTGATTCAGTTGTATTGCATTCCCTTTATCAGAAGATAGCACCTCCTACTTTAGTTATATTATGTCAGAATATAACTTTCATAAAGTTAAAAACATGATTCTTAAATATTTAGTAAGCACTTGTCAAAAAAGTATTTACCTCATAAAGAAGAAATCAGCAGGATAACAATGATAGTTCAAAGATAGGGGAAAGTGCTATATATGGAATCAATTAAAACAAAGGCTAAAATACAATTGTTTGAAAAAGATGTAAAAGTCACAGACTTGTGGTTATTTTGTCTATAAGATAGAAATCATTTGCATATCTACTGAACAAATATCATATACCATTTTCAATCTTCTACAAGGTAATATCTAGATTTACTGAGTTTGCATCCTAATCAATACTAAGACAGGTAGTGTTAAATCATTTAACAGTGCAGTGTGAAAAAGCTCAAAGGTGCATCAGAATCACTTGGAGGTGACTAAGGTTAAGCCAAATTCCTAGGCCCCATGCCCATGGTTCCCAAATCAGTCAGTCTGGGGCGACCCTAAGAATTGGAATTTCTCGGTGATGCTTCTGCATCTGCAGATGAACCAGGGACCACACTTTGACACCCACTACTCTAGTTTGACATTGAAAAGACTTAAGTAATATATTTTTCCTCCATATATTCAAGTGTCACATATGTTAGGATAAATTTTGAAAGACTTAAGAATATTGGATATATTCCTTGGAAAATTAGGCCTTCCTTTTCTAATTCTAGATTTTCTGAAACTTTGGGGTTTGTACCTTTCATTGTCTTTGAGCTATTTTAGAACTCTGTAATTTGAAGATTACTAATAGCAGTGCAAATGTTCTTGACCACAGACATGCAAATTATTCTGTCCAGGTGGGAGGACAATTGGTTTTCCTCCCAAACCTCTACAGTCACTGCTCTGTAAAAAGTCACTTTTACACTAACTTGTAAAATTATTCTCATTATTACTTACTTGTGTGTGTGAGTGTATGAATGTGCATGATGTAGGTCTCTGAATTTTTCTTCAAACTACTTGTCACATTATTGGTTTCCTTAAATAATGAGTTAAATAAAATCTTTGACATTTTTTTCTGTATTTGCAAGAGTCATGACTAGATCCTTTAAAATTTTTCCTTTAACATACTTTTTCTTAAAAATAATCAAGTTTAAAATTTCACATTTTGTTGATACTGTTTCCATTATAAGCAAGTGAATATCTTCTTCAGTAAAGCTGGTTAGTGGTTTTCGTATTTCCTAACACTTGACAATCAGTTTTAAAATTTAGTCTACTGGGTCACTAACCAGACTGGGATCCTATGGATTCCAGCTGCCTATTTCTTTTAACAATAACACAGCTGCCCTTACTTCTTTTAATCCTGCTTTACAGTCATCATTTATCTAACTCAACGAATTCATATTTGCTCCTTTCAAGATATATTATTTAAGGATATAGTTTGGCCATTTCTATTATTCAGGGTATTGACCTCAGTCCTTAATTAATAACAGCAAAGCCACAAAGATGTTTGCTACCTGTCTCCAAGCCTGGAAACTCTTAGTAAGACATCTGGAGTGTGAGGAGGAGGCAAACTTTCATGCCAACTTAAAATCCTTTGAATTTCTAGGGTCAGCAGGAAATCTTAGCTGGCTGGTGGGGTCACAGACAGATATTTTAAACTCTAAGTTCATGACCCTGGATACTGCCCAGCTTCTAATCTGAAATGTTTCCTTCCAATAAAGCATCTGTGTTCTATAAGAGGAGCTCAATTCTACACAAGGTCCGGAAGAGGCCTTTCCTGGGCCCTCAGCTCTGGAATTCATACCCGATCCATGTTTAACTCACACATTTCAGAACTCCCTCCACCCTCTCTCAGCAAGTTCATCTGGAAAACAATAACACCCAGTTTTAACCAGAAACTATTGTTCCCCCCCCCTTTTTTTTTTTGGTTTCCTAATGACTGCAAGATGCTAGAGGCTGTATTACAAGGACTATGGAAACCCAGTTTTCGTTCACTCCATGTAATAACTTTGTGCCAAAAGGACAAAGTAATACCACTCATACTTCCTGCTTAGATCAGACCCTGAATTTTTTTTTTGGCTATTTTCAAAAACTTATTATATGTGGGGGTCTTCCAGATTAACCTTTAGACTTTCTATACCAAGTACTTATGTGTTCATGAAAAATGCTATTACGATACCTTAAAATATTTTTCAAAAGGGTATGGTCTTGTTAAAATTTCATTTATGCAAAATATTTCTCTCAACATTTTCCTAACAGCCAATGGTTCCTATGTAACAGATATAACAACATGTCTCTAATATTCCCACCTCTGTTTTGCTCCTACTCTCCTTCCCCCCTGTGTAGAATATCTCTGGTTTATAGTTGCTGGTTGATTTTGATATTTACTTTATTATAATTACTTGTTTTTTCCCCTGATCCCTTATTTGGATCCTCTACATTCCTCCTAAAAGTGAAACTATACAGTATTTTTCTTTTTCTTTCTGGCTTATTTCACTGAGCATGATCCCTTCCCGTCTACCCGTGTTGCTGCAAATGGCATGAGTTTATCTTTTTTGATAGCTGAGTAATATAACATTGTGTATAGGAACCTCATCTTCTTGATCCAGCCATCTATTTTTGGGCATTTGGTTTGTTTCCATAGCTTACTTATTGTAAATAGGGCTACAATAAACATAGGGGTGCAGGTGTCCTTTTGAATTAATGTTTTTGTGTCCTTAGGGTAGATTCCTAGGAGTGGAATTGCTGGTTGAATGGAAGATCCATTTTTAGTAGTTTGACATTTTGGGACTTTTTGGAACATGGAAATACTGTCCCTTCAGAATTAGCCATTCCATAGAGAGTACAAAAATGTGGCTATGAGTATATTTTTCATATGCAAACCAACCATACCACATCTGTCTCCTTTCATCAGGCTTCTATTGTCTAGCACATTATTCTCCTACCCTAAATCACCTCAGAACGAATACTGGTCAGCTACTGACCATACTTGTAGCCCAGAGTTCCAGAATTATCCAGATTTTCCAATCCTAACTCTGTTTAGATATTTACCTTCCATTGCCCATTCCTTCCTGAAACACATACACACACAAAACGCTTTTACCAAGCGTTCTCACCCCTTCCTGCTCACCCCCCTCAGCTGACCCCATGCCTCTCCATGTGACCCTCCTGGAATGACATGACACCATCTCTTGGTAACTGAGAAACAAGCTATTTTTCCAATGGCAACTGTCTATTAATTCTTTTGCCTCATCTAGCTTGAATAAAAACAAAATATCACGAACATTTTACAACAATGCTCTCTGCCAGGGCTCCCAGAATGACTCACTCTCAGGTTGCTCTTGACATATTTCATAGCCTGAAGATTTTACTCACCACAGTGGTGAGCAGCTCCAGAGGGAAGAGGGCCTCTTCCTCAGAATTCACCTGTGGTTCCATGGCTGCTGATATCTTGTGTTTCAGGCTCTCTGCCCTGCTGCATAGGGCTCAGATACTAGTTTGATAGCTGAACAAGAAGACAGTTCTTCCACTCTCCAGTCTCAACTCTCCCACCCACAGACCCTCAAAATTTTCCTTAACTGTGGCCCTTTCCTAGACTAATCAGTTGATATAATTGGCTCATGCAAGTGTCTGCCTCCTAGGTTCAGGGAGAATTAGGCACAGCTATTACTCAAACAGAGGACATAGTTACTGATAATGAATGTTCTTGAATTCATATGTTGTCAGACATTAATATAAATTTCCAAGTAGGATTGAAACAGTTTCCAGGATTTTAAAAGTATAATAATTTACCAAATGATTCATTGAGAGAAACTATTAGGGGCATTTGGAACCTACTTTATTTATACTTTTATTCAATTATATAAAATGTATATTATATAAAGTATAGCATGCATATGTATATTTCTAGCCATATTCCAATAACCATATTACATACATATATGTATATAAAATATGTATTCACAATTATAACAAATAAAAATATGTTGTCAAAAATATAAATTTGCTCAGAATACAAGTGAATTGTCCCCAGGAGAGAAAAACTTAACTCACAGTGCTCATGAGAACATAGAGCCAAGGGGAAGGAATGGGCTGGCAAGAGAAGATCTGAACTAATGTATGTACCCAGAAATCCTGCAGCAATTATTGTAACTTCCTTTTCTCAGGATATGCAATCTGATTCTACCTCAAATGAAACAGTCCCAGGCAGAGTCAGTGCAAGCTTTCTCCAAAAGAAATTGTCTTTACGTGAATCAAATTTACGTATTGGGGCAGCGTCTATTTATTCCTCAAATTCCTATTTTCTTGCACTTACAGACACTTGGCACTGTTAACATTTCCCAGCTTCCCATGAGTCAGGTGTGGCTCTATAACTGAATACTATTCAATGAGATGTGAGCTGAATGATGTACATTTCCAGTGCAATCCTTTTAAGAAGTCAATTAGCAGCTGCATGCTAAAGGTGACCATGACAGTGAGGCCATGAGAAGGAAAGTGCCTGGTCCTAATTACTCTACCTGGATAAGAGCCAACCTGTAAACAAACACTTACTAACAATTTAGGTGAGTAAAAATAAAAATCTACTGTATCTGAGCCATGTCATATGTATCTATTTGTTGTCACAACTCAGACTTTCCAACGAAGACAGGCATCTACTATCTTCATTAAGCTTAGATGCTTTTCCAGACTTCAAAAACACCAAAAGTCATTTTCTTTTTCCTTTGACTCTTCTGCACTGGAATGGTGAAAATCCCACAGGCTAACCAGGTAACACTTCCACAAACCAGCTTTTAAAGATTCTACTTCAGGGATTATGGAAAGAGCTTGCCTTGTGATTGCTTTTAATTGGTACCTGTCATCTGCGTGATAGAATTTTATTAACAGAAGTGTAAACATTCATTGCAATATGCAGAACACAGGAATCTTAAGCAGCTTATGAAATTCAATCAAAGTTCTTTTTATCTTTTGTGTTTGCTGATAACTCATTAAAGGTTGTTCAATGTTACAAGTGTTGCAGCAGAAATGTTCCTTGCAAACAAAAGTGATAATGTAGAGACTTTAATACAACAAAGGGGTTGAGAGTTCCTCAACATTGCACAAAATAGTAACGATCTTTCACTACAAAAGACTTTACTATAGACAAAAGAATAAATAGTCCTTAGGTATTACTAATTTTTAAAAGAATAGAATCTACAAAATAGTTTATCAAAGGCAAGTCCTCCTCCTAATCTCTCTCTCTCTTTCTCTCTTTCTCTCTCTCTCTCATAACCCTAGGCAATTTGACAATCTACATTCAATTGGAGATAGTCAAGTTTTCAAGGTCTGTAGTTCATTTGATTCCCTGAAATGCAGTTGTATTGTAACATCCTCATTCTCATTCTAACAGATCTGCCTCAAACAAGGCAATAACACAAATCTCATGATTTATGTACACTTAGCAATGGATGTGTTAAGTAACAATTTGGCCAACTAGGCCTCAGTTTCTCACAGGTTAATACACACTCATAAAAGAGAATGGGCTGTGACTAGGTTAAAAACAAAGCTGGATTAGGCTGATAGAGCAGAAATCCTCACATCTAGGCCAGTTTTTGTACCACATTGCCCTGCTCTGCATGTACTTTTTTCATTTAACTGGGAGACTGCATATCTGAGCACACAACTTTAGGAGGTCTTCTGAAGGTAGCTGACCCAGTTTCACTGCTGACAGGATGTAGCACAGGCTACAGCATACTCTGCAAGAAGATTCTGCTGCACTGACCCTACCTGACACCAAGAGAAGTATTTCTGAGAACTTAGTCATATCAACCTTCCAAGTGTTGTACAAAGAAATGCCTTTACTTAAATGTCACAGAAGACAATATTATTAGAGGTCAAAAAAAAAAAATTCTGTAGACACTCTATAGGTCTCAACCCAATCATGACTGAGTTTTCATACTTAAAATTATGTTGCACACATTAAAATCTATATGAATCAAACAATGAAGACTGAGACTGAATCAAGACAGCATCAGAGGAGATGCCTTGCTCTAACGGTGGAAGAATAATCTAAACGTTAACCCAGACTGGCACACCAACCTGTGGGTCTGTAGCTTGAGGCAAAACTGGTACACTTCTTGGACATCAGAAACTGTTACAGGACAGGGAGAGGGGCACCCTAGACCCCGCAAACCTGCCTGCTCTAAATAGGTTCTACCATCCACTGCATCAACACAAAACATATGAGACTTTAATGGGAAGGAACTTTAATACAATTAGGAAACAATACAGGAAAGGCAAAGAATATAGTTTCTAAATCAAGCACCCAAAGTTACTTGTCCCCTCATGGGTAAAAGTCCACCCAAACAGGATTGCCAGAGCAAGGACCCAAAGCCTGCCACAAATCTTCCAGTGGGGACCCACAGAAAAGGATCAGAAACAACCAGACAAGTCTGGAAGGAAAAGAGCAAAATCAAAATCAAGACAAATACCACCATTGTCACCTCCCCATGGGTCTCTCACCCACATCTGTGTCACCCAGTCCATGACCAAAAGGCAAGTGTACTTTCTTCACATGTCTCTCTGCTTCATGTGCCTCCTCTAGGTCTCCTCTGGATCTCCATCCTCCTTCCTTCCTTTCTCAGTCTCCTCTGAAGCTTCTTCTCTCTCTCAGTTCCACCCTTCTTTTGGGTGGGGCAGGAAACCTGGAACTTCCCCCTTTCCTGGGGACCACCTGTTACAAAACCAGCAAATATCACCCCACCAGGGACACTGAGGAGATTATGCTTCATTAAACAAGAAATGGTAGGAGAGAAAAGCCTGGAGAGTATGGCCTGGGGACAGGAAGCTGCCATATAAACCCTGGCCCACTTTGCCAGTGGTCCCAGTTAAGAGAGAACTGAACAGTATGGAAACATATCCTTGACTGAGGGAAGACATGTGCAGAAGAGCTAGGGTGTTCCTGGCAGGTTGGGGCCCCAGGTAAAAGAGCAATGATAATATGCTGGTACATTCTCCCTCTCCCACACCCACAGTACTGATACTGACCTTGTGACATGTACTGACAACTCACAGACAACAGAGAACTGGGTCTTTTATCCCAGAGAGGAAGGATATTAGTGGTGCCACAAACACAAACCTATCAACCCCCATTCCCACCAGTGACTGGACACTCCAAGTCCATCTCCAACACTATGACTCAGTGCTGCAAGATTAGGTCTCCAGACTTACAGAAGCCAGGAAAGACTGAAGATCTAAAATCATTTGAAGTTGGGAAAAGCAAAAAGAAAATTACCACAGTGCCACCTACTGAAAATGTATAAGTACTACAAATATCCAAGTTACTGCTACAGAAACTTAAATAAAAATATAAGGAAATCTAAAGCTACAGATGGGCACATGAAAAGATACAACACACAGAACCTTGAGACTCAGTGAATATGTCATCACAAGGAGAGAACAACTTTCCAGAATCCACCCACAAACATTTGGAAGATTTTATCTTCCTATCAGATACAGCCTTCAAAATTGTCGAAAAAAAAAATTCAAAGAAATGGAAGAAAACTCAGAAAAACAGGGCCTCCCGGGTGGTGCAGCAGTTGAGCGCTGGGTTGCAAAGCTGCCCGCAGTCTCTGCATCACTGGTTCAATCCCTGGCCACCAGCTCAAGGGTCCCACATGGTGTATAGACCTCTCCTGCCCACATGGTGCAGCAGACCTCTCCTGCCTCCCGCTGTTGCCCTCAACAGTGTATTTTATCAGTCTGCCTGTTCTGTTACCCGCTCTGGCTCTGGTGAATTCTCTCAACCTCCTGCACTTCTGACTGTACCCGGTGCTTGTATAAATCAATCAATCAATCAAAAAAAAAAAAAAACATAAAAAAAAAACCTCAGAAAAACAAATGATCAGAGAAATAAAATGATTGAACAGGTAATAGAAAGTAAGCCTTTAAATAAGAAAATAATAGATGCATGATACAAAAAGATCAACAGAGAAGATAAAAAATTCTGATGAAAGCAGAATAGAACAAACACAAGATTGAATTAATGACCTTAAATATGGTAATACACAAAAGACCCAGGTAGAATAAGAAAAGAAGTATGGGTAGGAGCTGCAGCGCAGGGTGTGGGGTGGGGGGTCGGGGGGTATAGGCGCAGGGAGGGGACACAGGCTCACTGCAGTGTGCGCCCTGCACTCTGTCCCTCACTCGCCGCCGGTGGTCCAACTTGCTGCCCCCACGCCCTGCCACCGCCCTGCAGAAATGCTTCGATTACCCTCAGTCCTTTGCCAGATTAGGCTGGTGTCCAGGGCCCTGGCTCCTCATCTCACTCGGGCTTATGCCAAAGATGTAAAATTTGGTGCAGATGCCCGAGTCTTAATGCTTCAAGGTGTTGACCTTTTAGCTGATGCTGTGGCGGTTACTGTGGGGCCAAAGGGAAGAACAGTGATTATTGAACAAAGTTGGGGAAGTCCCAAAGTAACAAAAGATGGTGTGTCTGTTGCAAAGTCCATTGACTTAAAAGACAAATATAAAAATATTGGTGCCAAATTTGTTCAAGATGTTGCCAACAATACAAATGAAGAGGCCGGGGATGGTACTACTACTGCCACTGTACTGACCTGCTCTATTGCCAAGGAAGGCTTCGAGAAGATTAGCAAAGGTGCTAATCCAGTGGAAAAATATGGAAGGTGTGATATTGGCTGTTGATGCTGTAATTGCTGAACTTAAGAAGCAGTCAAAACCAGTGACAACCCCTGAAGAAATTGCTCAGGTTGCTACGATTTCTGCAAATGGAGACAAAGAAATTGAAAACATCATTTCTGATGCAATGAAAAAGGTTGGAAGAAAGGGGGTCATCACAGTAAAGGATGGAAAAACACTGAATGATGAATTAGAAATTATTGAAGGTATGAAGTTTGATCGAGGTTATATTTCTCCATACTTTATTAATACATCAAAAGGTCAGAAATGTGAATTCCAAGATGCCTATGTTCTACTGAGTGAAAAGAAAATTTCTAGCATCCAGTCCATTGTACCTGCTCTTGAATTTGCCAGTGCTCACCGTAAGCTTTTGGTTATAATTACAGAAGATGTCGATGGAGAAGCTCTGAGTACACTTGTTTTGAATAGGCTAAACGTTGGTCTTCAAGTTGTAGCAGTCAAAGTTCCAGGTTTCAGTGACAATAGAAAGAATCAGCTGAAAGATATGGCTATTGCTACTGGTGGTGCAGTATTTGGAGAAGAGGGATTAACTTTAAATCTTGAAGATGTTCAAACCTCATGACTTAGGAAAAGTTGGAGAGGTCATTGTGACCAAAGATGATGCCATGCTCTTGAAAGGAAAAGGTGACAAGGCTCAAATGGAAAAACGTATTCAAGAAATGATTGAGCAGTTAGATGTCACAACTAGTGAATATGAAAAAGAAAAACTAAATGAACATCTGGCAAAACTCTCAGATGGAGTAGCTGTGCTGAAGGTTGGTGGCACAAGTGATGTTGAAGTGAATGAAAAGAAAGACAGAGTAACCGATGCCCTCAATGCTACACGAGCTGTTGTTGAAGAAGGCATTGTTCTGGGAGGAGGTTGTGCTCTGCTTCGGTGCATTCCAGCCTTGGACTCATTAACTCCAGCTAATGAAGATCAGAAAATTGGTATAGAGATTATTAAAAGAACACTCAAAATTCCTGCAATGACTATTGCTAAGAATGCAGGTGTTGAAGGATGATTAATAGTTGAGAAAATTTTGCAGAGTTCCTCAGAAGTTGGTTATGATGCTATGGTAGGAGATTTTGTGAATATGGTGGAAAAAGGAATCATTGATCCAACCAAGGTCGTAAGAACAGCCTTATTGGATGCTGCTGGAGTAGCCTCTCTCTTAACTACAGCAGAAGTTGTAGTTACAGAAATTCCTAAAAAAGAGAAGGACCCTGCAATGGGTGGAATGGGTGGAATGGGAGTAGGAATGGGAGTAGGTATGGGAGGTGGCATGTTCTAATTCCTAGAATAGTGATTTACCATTATTGATGAACTGTGAGAGGAAGCGCAAAGCAGAGTTCCTCATCTATAACTTCAGAGAAGTCAGTTGAAGGAAATGACTGAAGAAAAGGCTGGCTGATGTTTAAGAAAATCACTATAATCATCAGTTACAGGTTTCAGTTACAACATATAATGGTTTACTGCTGTCATTGTCCATGCCTACAGATAATTTATTTTGTATTTTTGAATAAAAAGACATTTGTACATTCCTGATGACTGAGTGCAAAAGCCATGTACCAATGTACTGCTTTAAACTTAAATCACTGAGGCATTTTTACTACTATTCTGTTAAAATCAGGATTTTAGTGCTTGCCATCACCAGATGAGAAGTTAAGAAGCAGCCTTTCTGTGGAGAGAAAAATAATTGTGTACAAAGTAGAGAAATATCCAATTATGTGACAACCTTTGTGTAATAAAAATTTGTTTAAAGTTAAAAAAAAAGACAAGAAGTATGAAGTAAAAAGAAGAAGTACTTTAAGAATTATCTGATTCCACTAGGAAAGGCAAAATAAGAATAATGGGTATTCCAGAAGGGGAAGAAAGAGAGAGAGAGAGAGAGAGAGAGACGGGAATAAAGAACTTATTCAAAGAAATAACTAAGGATAACTTCCTAAACATAGGGAAGGTACAAGATGTATTGATACAAGTCCATGAAGTTGAAAGAACATCTGGTTATCTAAAGGTAATTAGACCTACAGGAAGACATATACTTATGAGACTTCCAAGAGTTTAAGACAAAAAAATAATATTGAATGTGACTTGGAGGTGTATGTGGGGTGGGGGAAGCAGATAACCTATAAAGTTACTTCTGTTGGACTTTTAAATGGTGAGAAAGTGAAATCTTTTCCTCTAAGATCATGCACAAGGCAAGAAAATCCACTTTCACCCTGCTTTTCGACATAGTACTAGAAGTCCTAACTAGAGAAATTACACAAGAGAATAATATAAAAGGAATCAAAATTGGGAAAGAAGTAAAACTATTAGCAGATTACACAATAATACTCATAGAAAATCCTAAAGACTCCACTTAAAAAAAAAAAACTATTAGAATAAATGAGTACAGTAAAATAGTGAGTTACAAAATCAATTTACAAAAGTTAACTAACACATTCTTATAAACAAAAACTGAACTACAGGAGAAAGAAATCAATCCCATTTACTATTACATCAAGAAGTATAAATACAGAGTATCCCTGGTGGCGCAAGGGGTTATGACACAACCTATGAAGCTATCTGCAGACACTGCAGCATGAGTTCGATCCCCAGTCACCTCACCTGACTCGCCCACTGCTCCCCTCAATGTATGTCACAATCTACCTGCTCTGCTCCCCACTCTGTCTCTGGTGAATCCTCTCACCCCCACACTTCTGGCCCATACCCCAGTTCTTATATGCATAAATAAATAAATCTTCAAAAAAAATTTTTTTAAAAAAAGAAGTACTGAATACCTAAAGATAACCTTTTTTTTGGACATGTTTTCTTTATTAAATCTTACTAGCATTCTTTAAGGGACAAACTCACAGACAAATAGATCACAGTTAAGAAGTCTTATTTTTACAAATTAAGATGTCTCTAAGTTACTTCCATTTTATCTTCAGTGATGCTCTTCATCTTTATTCTGGGGTTCTAGATAATATTCAGGTCCCAACAGTTCCCACAAATGCAACAAATTCCCATCTGAATCCTTGTAATAGTGCACCAATGAGGAAACATTGCAAAGCTACCCATGTTTCTCCAAGCCTCATTGCAGCACCAAGGATCCCTCAACCCTCATGAAGCCAACTTCTCTTGGGCAGATTCTAAAGGTGTCCTTTCTGTCTTTAATTGTTTATAATCTGCAAGTTCTCTTTTACTGGGACCACATTCATGTCCATGGGCCATGTCTGACAGCAATTTGACCAATCTCTATTCTATTTACTTATTTGAAGGCTTACTTTCTATTATCTGTTTGATCATTTTATTTCTCTGATCATTCATTTGTTTTTCTAGGTTCTCTTCCATTTCTTTTAATTTCTTTGTTATGACAATTTTGTTTTTTTAATTTTTATTATATATATATATATTTTACATCATTCTTCCTTTTATCATGACATGACAATTTTGAAGTTTGTGTCTGACTTCAGGATACTTAATATTCAGCTGTCCAGCTGCATAGGAATAAACTTAACAAAAGAGAAGACCAAATTATACAATGAAAATTATAATACATTACTAAAAGAAATAGGAGACAAAAAAAATGGAAAGATATCCCCTTCTCATGGATTGGAAGAATTGACATTGTTAAAATAGACATCTTATCCTATGCAATAAACAGATTCAATGCAATCCCTATCAAAATTTAACAACACTCTTCAGAGACATATAACAAACATTACTGAAATTTATATGGAACCAAAAAGACCCTGAATATTTAAAGCAATTCTGAATTTAAAAAAAAAGGAATAACAGAGGTATCAGATTCTCAGGCTTCAAATTATACTAAAAAGTTATAGTAATAAAAACAATATGGTAGACACACCAATGGAATAAATTGAGAGTTCAGAAATAAACCAAACCCTGTATGGACACTTAATCTACAACAGAGATGCCAAGAGTATACATTCACAAAAGGAAAGTCTCTTCAACAAATGTTGCTGGAAAATCTAGATAATCACATACAAATGAATGAAACTAGACCACTATCTCACACCATACATAAAAATTAATTCAAAATGAATTAAAGAATTGGATATAAGACTGAAACCATTGAAACATAGAAGAAAACATTGACAAAATACACCATGACATTGGCTTTGAGTATCTCTGGAGACAACTCCAACAACAAGGAAAACAAAAGCAAAAATAAACAAATGTGTGATTATTTCAAACTTAAAAATTCTGTACATCAAGTTAAAAAAAATCTATCTTTAAAATGAAAATCATCCTAGAGATTCAGAAAATATATTTGTAAATCATACATCTAACAAGGGCTTATATTCAAGACCTACAAATAACTCAAACAGTTCAAGAACAGCAACAAGGAGTCTCCCTGATAGTGTAAGGGGTTAAGACACAACACTATGAAGATATCGATAGCCACTGCAACACGAGTTCCATCCCCAGCCAGGGAGGTGATCTACATGGCACAGTAGACCTCTCCTATCTTGCCCACTGCTTCCCTCAGCAGTGTATTTCAGTACATCTGCTTGTTCTGCTCCCCACTCTGTCTTAGTGAATCCTCTCATCCCCCACATCTCTGGCCTACACCCCAACTCTTATATGCATTTAAATAAAACTTTAAAAAATAAAATAATAAGAACAGCGACAAAACCCAATAAAAAATTGGGCAGCAGAGTTAAATAGACACTTCTTCAAAGAAGACATATAGATGACCAACAGACACATGAAAAAATGTTTATTATCACTAATCATCAGGGAACTGCATATCAAAATCACAATAAGATACATCTGGAGGGGATGAGCCTATACTTCTAAATCATATAACAGTGTTGTAAACCAATGTTTCCTCAATTGAAAAAAAAAATGAAAAACAGCCACATACTATACCACACCTGTGAGAATAACACATTAAAAAAGACCAGAAACAAGTGTTGGCAAGGGTATGGAGAAAAAACTGTTGTTGGCAACGTGGACTGGTCCAATGACTATGGAAGACATATAGAGGTATCACAAAACATTAAAAATAGATCTCCTAATCCAGCAACTCAACTCTGAGGTATCTACCTAAATAATGTAAAAGCACTAATATGAAGGGATATATATTCTTCATTTCTTTGCAGAACTTTTAACACAACAGAAGTTATAGAAACAACTATGTATCCAAGGATAAGTGGATTAAGAAGATGTGGTTTGTATACACAAAGAAATACTATCCAGCTATTAAAAAAATAAGGTTAACCATTGACATTCTCAACAACATGGATGGAACTGGATGGGATTGCACTAAAAGAAGTAAGTCATAAGGAGAAAGACAAATGCCAGACATTGTCATTCATATATGGAATATAGAGAAAAAAAATAAAGGGTCAGGCAAAAACAAATCAAACACAAACCCCAGAAATCTGGCTGTAAAATTTGGAATACCAGAAAGGGAAGGGGAAAGTGGAAAACTAAGTATGAAGGGGGCCCAATGGACTATCACGGATGATTATAGATTTTGGTGGTGGGTGTGGTGTGGTAACACACATCTGAGAAAATGTATAACTATATATCTGAATCATAATGTTTTATTCAAGGTTACCTCCATAAAAAAATTTTTTAATAAAAATAATAGAGTAATGAAAGCACTAGAGGCCAAGGAGAAATTCTTGTCCTTGTCTTACTTCTTTTGCTCTTCCCTTAATCAATGAAGAAATCATCACTCCCTGAACTTTTGTCCTTTCCCTAATTGAAGAAGAAATTACTGCTCCCCTTTTTATGATCTAGAAGACTATAGTTTGAGATCATATCATGCAGGTGTAATTTCGTCTGTAAATATGTCCTCTCTAAGAAATTCATTTTTTTCACTCTAAGAGTAAAGATGAAGTCATCCCCTCTTTAGTATGTAAACCCACCTCTCTCCTTGATGACCCAACTCCCTTATTATGGGATATACATTCCTGGTTAGCCCTAGTATACTTTTAAATTTATAGTTGTGCAAAACTCTCCATTCATTATTAAGTTCTTTTTCTCCTAAAAAATAATAAAATTCAAATTGCTCTATTAAAATAATACTTATCACACTGACATGCAAACATTTATCTACATGTGTAACATCTCTGTAAATTAGAGTTAGACATCACCATATAGTCTTGCTGGAATTCACTAGATTCCCAGCAAATGCGTAAAGAATATTTTTTCATCCCTTTATAGAAGAACACATTCGTAAGCAGGACACCAGAAATATTATAGCTTCCCTTCCAAAGTATGAATTGGGTGCCCCCACTGTGGTTTTGTAGAGTTGCTGGGTCTAAATCTGGTCTTATTTGCCCAGCCCCACCCCCTGAGCAGCATAATCCTTTCAGTGTCCTGTGGATTCTTTAGTGGCTTCCCTCCTCTTTGACAGCAAGGTCACAACAACCCTTTCTCCCTCCTCCATCATCCTCCACAGACAGCATTGGCATCCTCCAAATTCTGTCCTCTTTTTGGGGCAAAGGAAATGGGCATGTCACACTCAAGCACCAGTGTCTACAAATCAGTGGGGATGCTCAGCACTGGGACTCCTCTTTTGCCCACTATTATACCACTATTTGTCATGTTCATTTCCTGAAACTATGAGAATGAAAATTGTATTGCAAGTGGTGTCAAGTTTAAATCTTTGGACATCAAAAGACTCTTCTACCTTTTCTGGGGATAAAATTCTGCCCTTCAAAATACAACGGTTCATCTCCCATTCCCCAAATCTGATTCTTAAATGCAAATACTGATCACATTTTCATATCCTACTACATTAAATTCTCAAAAATTCACCATGCTCAAATAAGTAAAGAAGTTTGTTTACTTTTTAAGGTTGCCACAACTATATCAAAAGCTCTTCTTACTGGTGTACATTATTCAACTTTTCTTAAGTTGTCTATAGAAAACTGCCTGGAATAGAAAAGATTCCCAGCGAATGCATAAAGAATATTTTTTCATCCCTTTATAGAAGAACACATTCTTAAGCAGGACACCAGAAATATTATAGCTTCCCTTTGTATCACATTCTCCTTTTAATACTTTGTTGTAAGCACTTCAGAGGAGCAACCACATTAGAAACTGACACCCTCTTTCATCTGTAATAAATACCACTCTAATCTGACTTGCCAGCAAAATGACTTGAGGCCAGCACACAACCCCATAATCTAATGGGTAATGTGCATTTAGCAGGTAATAGATGCTTCAAAAATCTACTTTAGCTTCCGTTAGCTTTGGTCACTGGAAAATAAGTAAGAGCCCTTGGCTACTCTTCCTTTGCAAATAAATACAATGTGAATCTAGAAGACAGTAAATTAAGTTTTAAAACCAGCTGGTTGACCTTCTATCTTCTATCAGCCAAGTGGTCGCCAGAGTAAATAACACTCATTTCTCTCCGTGTCAGGACTCGGTAAGTTTACACTGCTCAGTGTGACTGTGAGTTCTCCCTTCCCCTTGTCCCTGGGACCCACTGACAGCCTAGGCTCTGGGTCTCAGGAAACAGACCTCATCTGGTTTACATTTCCTTTGAGCCTCACTCTGAAGGCTAATGGGGAGATTTCAGATTTCTTTGCTAACACTATGGACTAAGTGATAAAAATCCCAATGGAATTCAGACTTCCTCCATATTTATATATGTCTGTAGGGCAATTGTGAGTTAATAATCTTTTCCTGAAACCACTTTATATTTAACAATTATTTCTGGCTTTATTCCCTCCTTCCCAAAGGAAATTTCCTTTAAGTTTATTGCTAGCATGTATATAAAAATGGTCTTTCTAAAATGCTATGATTTTGCTTGGCTTTGAGTTTATTTAAACTGATTTTAAAGAGTATGGTCTTTCTCTGACCATTTATTATATTTTAATATTAGTATAGATTGAAATTAGGTCTTCAAAATATATACACATTTGTGTATATACAAAATATACACAACTTTGAGTACTCAAGTATGCCACATCACTTAGGAATTAGAACTTTAAAAGATTTCCTAAATACCTATCTTATCTACATAAAATGTCATTCACTGTAGATTGACATAGGTGTGAATTATGACCTAGATCTCTTTCATTTTTGTTTCTTTAGCTTTGAAATTTCACCTAAGTAGCTCACATATGACAAAACAAAGTGCATGTGTTAACCCAGACCAAGGAGATGACTAGTTTCTGAGATACAGTTTGGATTTATTGATTTCTCTCCTCTTTTTAAGTCTACTGTCCCTTTTGACACTTCACAGTGTCAAACTGCGTCCCTAGGAATTGGGCCTGTTTTCATTTGAAGTCACCCATATCAGCTTATCTTGTTTTGTGGGATACTCTTCCTGTTCAATTACAGCTGTTGTTAGCAGATTCTCTGGTCAACCAGGGTGGTTGATAGGAGGCAGAACAAAGGGGGAAACAAAAGAAGATGAAACCAGGATTCTGTGATTGCTTCCACTATGAGTTTATTATATAAAAAAAGTATGGTCAGCTTCTCTCTCTTTTCAGTTAAAACAATGTAATTTATCTTAATCTTTTTAGAGGTCCATTGTAAGGTGTAAAAGGATTTGAAAGATTTTTTTTTATTCTCTATTCTGTATGTATTTGGTATTTGATGTAACTTTAAAGGGAAAAAGAGATACTTATTAAAAATCAATTTATTAATATAAAAATACAAGCAGCAAACACATGCAAGTACTAACTTCTTTTGTGATTGAAGAAATGCAAATGAAAACCTGCAAAGTTTTAAAGAATTGACTCCACAGACTGGTAGGGATGGTAGGAGATGGATCTTTTTTATACATCTTAAGTGAAAGCAAAATTTGGTCAACAATATACAGCAATATTTTTTCAAATGAATACAATTTTATGTTCATAACATTCATTTGGGAATTCTACTTATGAAATTATTTTCTAGAAAAGATCATCAGAAGAGTATGCAAATATCTACATGTGATGTTAATATAATAGTAGTGAAAAGTGTAGTCAGAATAAGCAGTAAAATCATTATCATTTTGACAGATACAATATGATGGCCAGAAACTGGAAAGCCACTACACTGACTGCTAAATGGACTCATTTTTTTAGTTCTGAAAGCAAACTTGCGAGGTAAATAAAGACTTCCAAACAGTGCACAAGAAATATGTGAGTTAAACTACATTTTCAAGGCATACCTCTTCCTTCTAATCATTCCATGTCATTCTATAATCCCCTTCATTGGTAATTAATAGCACATTTCTTAGTCTGTTACTTCATACTGCCCTCACCACTTGTCATTCACGTACATACACACACAAAACACACACACACACACCCCCCACATTCAACGATAAACACAAAACCCAAGGAAAAATGTCAGAAAATATTTCCTTGGATTAGTAGCAAAACAAGATGTCTTTCTAAAGAATAGGGAGATCACCCTTTGAAGGGATCCCAAAGGGCAAGTGAAGTTAACTCCCCCCTGCTTTCAACCTTTCCTTCAACCTCTCCAATACACCCCTCACTCTGCCACTGTTCCCTGAAATAGGGGATGGGGAAAGAGAGCTTACTTGTCTCGCTCTCTGCCTTCCTAATCTCTATGCCATTTTCCTCCCTGTAACTTACCTGGTGATCACTGTGCCATTTTAGAACCATGAGTGATGGGCAAGTTTCAGAGAAAGAAAATCTGAGAAGGGAATATGACTAGGAGTATTTAAAATGTACTTAGCAAATAAAAATAAAATATCATTGATCCATCAATTCCCCATCTGGATCTGCACACAAAAGAGAAAGTGAGAACTCAAATATATATTTGTTTACCCACTTTTAGATGTTGCTGTAGAGGTACTTTTTAGAAGTAAATAACATTAAATCAGTAGGCTTTGAGGAAATCATTACCCTATAAAATGTGGGTGGACATCATCCAATCAATTGAAGGCCTTAAAAGACTAAGAACCCCTAAGGAATACAGAATTCTGCACTCAGACTGCCTTTGTACTCAAGACTATAATATCAATTCTCCCTGGATCTCCAGATTATCAGCCTGTCTTGTAGATTTCAGATTTGCAAGTCCCTATAATACATGTACTGATTGCTTGAACTCTCTCTCTCCCCCCTCCTCCCCTCCCTCTCCCTCTTGCTCTCTGTACACACACACACACACATTTATATGTATATATATATATATATATATATATATACCTATGATTCATATATATACATACATAACTATACATGCATACATGTGTGTGGTGAACATATAGAAATATCCTAGTAGACACTAATAGATCCATTTCTGTGGAGAACCATGATTTCAATACTGAGTTCTGTGACCTATAAGTCCTCTTGTGCTTCCCTTCCTCCTTCAACCATGGTCATAAAATTAAAGAGAAGAGACAAAATAAGGAATATTTGGGGCCTCCCCGGTGGCGCAGCGGTTGAGCGCTGGATTGCGAAGCTGCCCGCGGCCTTGGAGGCGCCGGTTCGATCCCCAGCTGCTCCCCGGCCACGGGAGGAGGGTCCCACATGGCGCGCAGACCTCTCCTGCCGCCCGCTGCTCCCCTCAGCAGTGTACTTCGGTCCTTCTGCCTGCTCTGCTCCCCGCTCTGGCTCTGGTGAATTCTCTCACCCTCCCGCACTTCTGACTGTACCCAGTGCATGTATAAACAAAAACAAACAAACAAATAAATAAATAAATAAAACATGCCTCTATAAAAAAAAAAAAAAAAAAATAAGGAATATTTGACCAGTGGTTGGATAGGTAAGCATACTCATTAGCATAAGAACGGCAGTATACTGAGAAGCCAAGCTCAATAGGAAAATACACGGGTCCTAGGGACTGATATCTTTCTGGACCCATCTGAAGCCATGAGTTTGTCATCCCAGTCTTAGATAATAGACCTCAAAATACCTTTTTATGGGTATAAATAAGCATAGAGAAATATCTGATGACAATACACATCATCTTTATTTGAACTCAAATATTTTCACTCCTTGGGTGTATATAGTTTTATATAAAGTATGTAATTCTTTCTCTTTATTTTTCTCTGCCCATGTTCTCTTTCTACCTCTCAAAGAACCCACAATCCAAGATTTTCAGCCTTATGGAGGATAGAAAGGGGAAAACAGGCTCTCAACTTGCCTTTCACCTCAATATAGTCCACCCACTCCAAGGGAGCTGCATTGGTCCACACAAGCCACAGGAATTACCCCTCAATACCCAAATTTCCTATCCATATACTTTGGAATTTATGCTTCACAAAATTTATTTTCAGTACTACAATATATTATTTTTCATGCCCAAATTTCAAAATTCAGTACAACCTTGATTTATAATATCATATTGTTGACTTGGTTCAGAAAGATTTTTACATTAGTCCCTCCAGGAAACATCAAATATGGTTAACTGTAACATTAAGAGTCTGTTAAAGCATGGAAATTTTTAACTCTTTTTTTTAAAGATTGATTTATTTATGCATACAAGAACTGGGGTACAGGCCAGAGGTGTGGGGGTGATGGTGGTGGTGAGAGGATTCACCAGAGAAAGAGTGGGGAACAGAACAGGCAGATTGAAATATACTGCTGAGGGGAGTAGTGAGCGAGTCAGGAGAGGTCTGTTGTGCCATGTGGGTAGCTCCCTGGCCAGGGATCAAACTCATGCTGCAGTGGCTGCGGCCAGCTTCATAGGTTGCATGTTAACCCCTAGAGCCACCAGTGAGGCTTAGAAATTTTAACTCTTGACATTCTAGACAAACTTATGGGTAATGAAGTATCCTTTGGTCTATTCCATTAATTTATCCATTTATTCACTCACTCAACATGTTATGAGAACCAAGTACCAAAAAAGTATGGGCCCTTTTTCAAAGTGGTGAAACATAGTGGCAGAATACAAATAAGCAAACATTTCTAATGCCATGTTATAAGTGCTATGATAGAGTAATACATAATGTTCTTCTGAAAGCACAGAAGTGGCTACTAGAAGAGAGTGAGGAGTATTAATCTTGTTTGGAGAAAGTAACATTTTCTCCTGTCTTGGAAAACAAATGTCTTGAAGAAGACAGAGTAAGCATCTCTAAAAGAGGAAACAGCAGACACAAATCTTAAGGCAAAATAAAATGTAGCCTATGACAAGAACTTCTAGAACTGAAGGTTTGTGGGGAGAATTGATAAGAGATGAGACTGAAGAAGAAGGTAAAGATATCTTCAATACTTTGCTGAAGGACCTTTGTTGTCATGAGAAGGGAAGGGATGCTTTTGAAGTGAATAAAGCAGAAAGATGGCAAAATCAGTGTTGCCAGTTAGTTCACTCATCTAGAATTTTTCCTCCATATCTGCCACCCTTTTCACTTGCACTTTAAGATTGCTCTGATTTCAATGAGAAATGTGCAAAAGATGGAAACTAATCTGACACCAGTGAAGGATAAAGTATTGCCCATGAGAGCAGAGAAGAGGGCCTAAAAGTGAGGGACTGGAAAAGGCTATGGACCAGCAGGGAATAGATACAGGGAATATGAAGTGACCGGATTGAACATACAATCAAGGGAAAAGACAGTATAGCTTAAATGAAAGAGGAAGATATGCCTGTTGCTAAAAACATGCATCCCCAAATCAGACATGATATAGGGAATGCTTCTTGAAAAACGATAATAACAAGACTGCTATTTACATAGTCAAGTTGGCAGCACAGTATCTGTGCAGTTAGTAGGCAGATGGGAAAGACGTTTGAGAGAAAGGAGCAACATCACTCTTGAATGATGGGGACTCATATTTCCAGTCATGCTGGCCGTTGCACAAGAGGTTTGTCATCAACCAATGACTGTCTGAACTTACGGGGAAGCAGAAAGGAAGATCCAAGGACTCTATCTCTATTCAGGGAATTCACGTTACAAACCCAGTAATTAAACCTGATGCAAGGATGTGACCTGAAAGTTCAAAAACTTCTTCCATATTCCACTCCCCTGTTCAACTCTCACTGGCCACTTCTCTTGTGTCTGCATCAGATCATAACACAAAGGCCTCTGGAATTATAAATTGCCACTTTCTATTCTCATTCTCTCCAAACATTTCCTTTTGGTGTTTGAAAGTAGATAATCTAGGCTGAACCAGTAACATAAAATGTGAGGCCTGGTGGAAAAAAGAAATGCAAGACTTCTTGTCAAAAAAATTAAGTGTTTCAAGATGGCATCCAGAAAGCATGAAACCAAACATGGAGCCCTTCTCAGTGGCTCCATAGGACCCTGTGGGGCTGTGCAGATCACACGTCCATAAAGCTGGACTTGACCTTGGCTTTAATATAAAGCAGCTGAACCAACTTATGTCACAGGTGGTGCAGAGAATGAGGGAGAAGTAGGAAGCACAGACTTACCACCTTGTAACACTTCTTAAAATAAAAGAAATCATCTATACTTTAATTTCTGACAAAATCGCGCCAGCATGAATCCACCTTATTTGTAGCTATCATTGGCAATCTACTCATTAAACATATGGATTAACCATGAATAACTAAAGGGAAAAATTGCAATTATGTCTAATATTGAATGAGAATTTCTGTTTGAAAATGAAATGCCGGATAAATCTACAGTTGTTGACAAGACAAATTACTTAAAAATGAACATGCTCCCAACCTATGTGCAGGATTCTGAGAGAAGGAAAACTGAGGAATGCTAACTTTGAACTATTCTCCACAGCACTTGAACCAAATGCCCACAGCAAGATTCAATGATGTGCAGGAATCTTGGCTTCAGATATGCATCTCCTTTACCTCATTTCCCAAATTGAGACCTCTGACCTTGTAGAAAGAAGTAGGAAAGACATAAAATAGATATAAGGAAGGGCTTAATCTTAACCTTAACTTCAATTTACCTACAAATTTGGCCTGAGGAATTCTTTCCAAGGAGGCAGAAGTTGCAGGAACCCAAATCTATATTGTTCAATGCATTTTCATGTAGTCCAATTATTAATTCATTAAATCAAACAGGTATTTGGGGGGCCCTTGCTGGATCTGGAGAACACTGAGAGTTGTGATCTATACTATTTAACTAATTTACCTTAGACTGGAAAATTATCACAGCATGATCATAGCATGGGGTAAGATACTGAAAGTCATAGGTAACTGGGATTTGTTAACACTTACTGTTAGGGCCCT